CGGAATACAGTTACTCATATTTTGTATTTTAAATACATAACGGCGGTACACGTATTCCGTTACTCCCCAACACTGTGTCTCTCTATATACTGGACTGTAGCGGAGATGACAATAAAGTTATATGGACTATGTAATGGAGTAATATTATTTATTAGTGATTGAAGAACACAGAAAAAGAACAACCATAGGTTTCTCTTCAGCACTGTAGCCAGGATGACAAAAGGTTTGAGCTCTGTTGAACCAACCTTTAACCTTAACTAATAATGAGTTCATGAAAAAATTACCCATAACCATCTCACAGACGTAACACTGTGTACAGCTGCTTTAATACCATTGATATTTATTTACACTTTTTTTCTACAATTGATCTTCCTGAGTTAACTTGAGTAATTACTTCCTCCAAACCATCAACGTGTTACACCCCATTCCTACAAGACTGCTCAAAGAATGAATTAATGTTCCAATCTTAAATAGGGTCAACCTATCTCTATTAATCAAATATGTAACATAGGCCTTCAAACTGGCAGTAATAAAAACCATTACTTAAAAAGCCATTACCTTTACACAGTGGTCTTAGCTAATTATAGGCCAATCTCCAACCTTCCTTTCACATCAAAAATTCTTGAAAGAGTAGTTTTCAAACAGCTAACAGATCATCTGCAGAGGAATGGTTTATTTGAAGAGCTTCTGTCAGGTTTCAGAGCTCATCACAGCACAGAAACAGCTTTAGTGAAGGTTACAATTGATCTTCTTATGGCCTCTGACAGTGGACTCATCTCTCTGCTTGTCCTGCTAGACCTTAGTGCAGCGTTCGATACTGTCGACCATAATATGTCAACGTGATTAGAGCATGCTGTCAGTATTAAAGGCACCTCACTGCAGTGGTTTGAATCATATCTGTCTAATAGACTCTAATTTGTTCATGTAAATGGAGAGTACTCTTAACACACTAAGGTTAATTGTGGAATTACAATGGTTTCCTAACTAGGACCAATTTTGTTTCTGTTATACATGCTTCCTTTAGGCAGTATCATTAGAAGGAATAGGATACAGGTTCACTGCTATGCATCTGATACCCAACTTTATCTGTCCATGAAGCCTGATAACACGCACCAAATGCAGCAATGTCTTAAAGACATAAATTACCTCAAATTTTCTGCTTTTAAATTCAGATAAAGTTGTAGTTTTTGTACTCCACACTAACAGTCTTAGAAATACAGTATCTAACCAGATGTTAACTTTGTGTAGCATTAACTTGGCCTCCAGTAACACTACGAAGAATCTTTGATCAGAATATGCACATATTAAAAAAATACGTAGGACTGCTTTCTTCAATTTTATCATCTTATCCATTCTTTCACCCTTAAAATAATCTCTAAACTTTTAACCTCTCATTCTCTTCCAACTTTTTTTCTTTTGCTTTTCCTTCTTTTTTTCTTTCTTAACCAAGTTCTATTTTGGTAGTCTCTTTTTTGTTTTCTTTGGTATAAATATAAATAACCTTTAAGTAAGTGTAATTGCAACCCAAAGATTTTGATCTCCATGAGAGCCCTTCTCTATCTTTCTTTTGTTTCTTTGTTTAAAGTTTTAGCTCAGTGGTATTTTAGAATGTGTATCTAGATACCACTGTTATCTTTAAACTAGACATTATGCATTGCATGTTTAAAGACTACTCTGTCAGAAGAGAGCATCCTTAGCATATGACTTCTACTGTGAGTGTGTGTCTATTTGTGTGGTCTCCTTGCTTTCAGGCGTTTAGAACAAGTCATTCAAAGTGGTACAGAACACACACACACTAACGCATTCACTCAGTTTGGCAAGTCTGTAGTGTATGGGCGTCTTTCTTCTGCATCCTGCTCAGTGGTCACTTACCACACACACTCCACCACCACATCAACATGATGGTTATATAACTTTTGATGTAATCTCCACTGATGTTCCACTGAGTTTTAGTGGAATATTCCTGCTCAGAATTTATGCATTTGAAATCAGCTTGGACTTAATGTCATTCACTTATCTTTAACGTTTTTCAAACAATTTTTTTTTCTAAATTTCATTTCTTTCTTGTTACAACTTTGCTGTGCATACACATACGTTTTTTCAGCTGGTAAGACTGTAGAGCAGAGATAAAGAGCTGGCTGAAACAGCGGCAGTGAGCAGTGCATCACCCTGTTTGTACCCATGTGTGTTTCTCTAACATGTAGCAGGTCTGATGTGTGTCCCGAGCATTTCCAGTTTGAAGTTCAAAAGCATCTGGTCCAGGGTTTATTTTCCATCCTGTGTTCCTTCCAGTGGCTCTGCTGCTTCCAGGAAAATTTAATCATACCTCACAAATAATGCCCACAACAGGATACAGAGGCACACAGAGAAGGAGAAAAGTCAATGACACTGAAAAACGTTTGAATCGTTTTATTATAAATGTACAAACTCCTAGTTAAGCAGTCAAAATTCTTGCCCTTGTCCTATTTTGGTTGTAAAAAAAAAAATACCCAGACAAGTTGAAAATTATTTTACCACTTCTATCAACAATGGGAAATACATTAAAAGGACAAACAATAAAAAATTTTATCACAAAGAAAGTAACAGGCAATTACTTCAATACAAAATCTGAAAAAAAACCCCCACTGGTTATACTGGTTACATGGGGCATATCATATGCAAATCTGCTTTTATTAAGCAAAGAATTTGAAAAACTGTATTTGCTGTATTTGAGGCTGATTTGTGTAATTTTGACTCTGTGTAGATTAAAGAAAGTTCAAAATAAATTTAAACTTGTTGACCTATTTCTTGTTTTTTGTCTCTTTTAAGTCATTAAAGATGTATGTTGTACAATCATTCCACTCTGTAAAAAGAGCAGTTCAAAGACATCTTGAAAAGCCCCAAATTACCATAACATTCATGGTCATTATGAGTAAATATAAACCTCTGCCCAACTTACAGTCCCTTACTGTTTCCACATCCACTATAACCAAAACAATTGTTGCTTCTGATAAATCATTTTGCCCGGAAAAGGTTATAAGACCATTTCCAAACAAAATGAAGTCACTCTACGGTGAGAAAGATTATTGATGTGGAAAATATTCAAGACATTTGCCAATTGTCCCAGGAGTTAACATCCCAGCAATTCCCCCTAAGGTCAGATCATACAGTGCTCAGAGAAATTGCAACCAAAGAGCTACATCTCAGAATCTACAAGCCCTAATTAGTATGTTAAATGTTACAGTTCATGACAGTGAAATAAGAAAACAATTGAACTAGTATGGATTGTTTGAAACACTGCTGCCAGGAAAAAGTATCTTCTTCTTCATGTCACCCAAGATACAATACAATTCTACTTTTCTTGTCTGCAAGTGCTGTGTCCGACAGTTACTGACTTAAGTGCGTGCACATCAGAGCAGCAACCCAGTGACCACACAGTGTTTAATTTATCCACAGTCTTTTCGAAACAAAACACAGACGAAATATCTGTTCAGTTTTTCGTATTTCTTCCATCCTTGGCTTTGTTTTGACTCACTGGACAAACTAAATTGCCAAATTTTCATCTAACCATCTGCCCATTATTCTAAATAAGCAAAAATGACATCATACATCATCTGATGACCATTATCCCATGAGTACAGTTTCTTGTCCAGTGGACAATAAGCCAGCTGGGAGTTATGTGCATGCATGTTTGTGAACGCCAGGCTTGGCACTGTGTGCGTAAGCGTGTGAGTGTCAAATGCGTAGGTCACGTTTGCATAGCGACGCTCCATACTATCCACTGCATAAAGCACACCACATACCAAGAAGCTGTTACCGTAACGACCTCTTCTGAGACCTGTGCGAAAGGTCTGTATTGGCTGAAGGTCTCGAGGGTGGAGGTGGATTAGCAGGATAACTTCCTGGTGGAAGCCCTCTGTGTCCAAAGCAGGGTAAAGCAGCCACAGGCCGGACTCATCTACCGCAAACTCAACCTGCAAAATACACAAGCTCAAGTTTGTATGACTTTTGCATCTTAAAATAATTTTAGACTGCAATCTTTCAGGTTGTTGTTTTGGTTTTAGAACCTAGAATTTTACTGATCTATTCCTTCCCACTGCAGTTATTCATCTGCAGCAGGCAGCTGTTTACATACTGTTCTTAGCTCTCCAGACAGCAGATTAAGGTAGATTAAGGTAGTCCTTGCTGGTGGAGATCAAAAACAGATTTAGAGAATCTTTAAAGAGATTTTAAAGAGTTTAAAGAGAGCCTGACTGGCTGACTTTTCTTTCTAACTACAGTTGAGGCCAAAATTATTAGCCCCTCAGGAATTTTGGAACATTTTGCTAAACTTTTGCCCAACGTTTGCAGCATTGATGAAACTTGATACATTCAAACATTCACCAGTGCGATTTAGTAGCTTTCGGTACATTTTGTAATATAAAATACCTTTTTAGGTTTGCTTCATATCAAATATAATAAAAAATGGGGAGGTCAAAAATATTAGCCCTATGTGAATGTTTGCTTTCAAAACACCTAGAGTAATTAACCAGTCAGCTTTGAAACCACATCTGTGCAGTCAACTGGCTTCCTAACAACATTCAATTGGCATAAAAAGGGTTCAAGGAACAGGGCATTTGAACACATGAGAGGAACTACTGTTACTGGCCATGCCAAAGATAAAGGAAATAATTCTGGAGCTCGGAAAAAAAGATAGTAGAGGCTCATGATAAGGGGCTACATGCCATTTCCAAGCAATTCACAGTGTCTAGAACTGCTGTATGTTGCATCATTGCCAAGTCCAAGGAGACGAATTCTGTAAGAAACAAACCTGGCCGTGGCCGTAAGTTCAAGATTTCAAGAATCCTGGAGACGAAAGTAGACACAGATGTCAGCAAGGAACCGCGGACACCTGCCAAGACGATTGTTACTGACCTGGCCTCTTCTGGAGTTGATGTTTCAAGGAACACAGTTGTGACGGCTATTTATCATGGTGAACTTCAGGGGCATCATCCCAGAAGAACACCTTTACTCAAAGAGCTGCACATCACAGCCCGACTGAGGTTTGCCAATGAACATTTGTAAGGTAAAGATCAGTTTTGGAAGTGCTTTGATCTGATTAGACTAAACTGGAACTGTTTCAGCACATAGTTGTTGCTTATGTTTGGCAAAGAAAGGCACAGGCCTTCAACCCCAGGAACACAGTTGGGAACATCCTGCTGTGAGGCTGTTTTCAGGCACAGGGAACCTTGTTTGGTTGCATGGCATCATGAAAAAATAAATTATGCTGACATTTTGAAAGAGAAAATGCAGAAATCCGCTCATAGTCTAGGCTCAGGTTGTCGCTGGGTCTTCCAACAAGGCAATGACCCAAAGCATACATCAACATTAGTCCAACAGTTCCTCAAAGATACCAAAACCAAGATCCTGGAGTGGCCCGCACAGAGCACAGACCTCAATCCTATTGAGAATCTGTGGCAAGTGCTCCAAGTGAATGTCCATGCTTGGAAACCATTCAATTTGGATGAGCTAGAACAATTTGCAATGGAGGAATGGGCCAAAATCCCTCAGAAGACCTGTGCAAACCTAGTAATGACCTACTCTAAGAAATTGTTGTCAGTTGTGGCTCAGAAAGGGTACAGTATATGACTATTAATGGCCATGGGGCTAATAATTTTGGATGTCTCATTTTTGTCCTTTCTTGTTTTAATTTGGTGTATCAATAAAATATCCTAATTAACCTTATTGGACATTGTTGTTTTGGAAACAGATACACTATACAAAACAGAGACTTGTTGTTAATGGTCATTTTCACACTAAAATCGCACACACACATATAAACATCCACATTCCAACGTATACACATCCACATTCCAATGTAAGGAACATACACCCACTGATGTATATAAATAAAGACCAGGGCAGTGGCAGAGCGCGAGTGCCTGAGCCCTCACTCCCGTGCGGGTGCTCTGTGACTGCCCTTGCTGCAAGTAAAACTGTGTGTTTCTCCTCTCTGATTCTCAGCTGAAGAAGTGTCTTAGAATACATCTCTTGACAGAAACAAACCACAAAAGTGATCAGTTTAGTAATTTATAATGTTCCCACACATAATTTTAATGATGCTTCTAAATGTTCTTGTTTAAATCATTATGGAGTACTTCTTGGGCCGTTATTTAAAAATGAAAGTAATGAGTCTTACTTCAGTCTGTGTCTTGTGAATTTGCTCCTCCAGTAAAGCATCGTGCAGTGTGGTCCACGCAGCCACATATCTGTGCCTCAGGTCATATCTGATAACGTCCCTGCTGAAGGCTCGATTATAGTAGAAAGCTCCATTAAACACAACATGGCCTGTTCCAGTGAAACTGTAAGGTAGCTTGTATGAATTACTTGTCTGACCTGAACAGGAAGGACACACAGAAAATAGATATGCACAACCTTAATGATCATCAAACTAAGATATGTCCATCATGTAGAGAAAATATTTTACTGCAACTGATTGATTGATTGATTGATTGATTGATTGATTGATTGATTGATTGATTGATTGATCATACTTTATTCATCCCGAGGGAAATTGGGTTAATAAACATTGCAACGATTTTTACCTTAATTAATAACAGTATTTCAAATGGTTAAAAATTTATTTTGTTTTCTAATAACACTAATGTTGAGACTAGATTATTTGTGTTTATAATGTTATGCAATAAATCAGACTGTATTTTATATTTCATATTTGGTTTCACAATTATCCTCTCATTTGTACTGTCTTATAATTAAAAGACCCGCCTCCACACCCTTTAAAAAAACAACAACTTGTTTCCAGGCTGTGGATGATCTTTGTCTTTGTCAAGAAATTTTTTTAAACTATTTCAGCTTTTTAGAAACATCTTGGTTTCAAGCATCCAATGAAGAACAACAAATATGATTTTTGTCAAAGCCTTGTGATTAAGTAATCGTCATTAGGATATTGAGCTAAGTAATTGTCATTGTAAAATTTCCCCAAATTGAGAAGCCTTATTTTCTAAGGCAAAAAATCCCTGCAATATCCAGGAGAAGACAAATATTACATGCTCGTGCATCAAAATGATGTTCAGGCTAACTTTTCATCCAGATGCAAAGGCGAAGGCAGTTTTACATCACTGCAAAGGGACAGCTATGGTAGATGAATGCCCTTTCCTGAGCCTGGTTCTGCTGGAGGCCCCTTCTTGTTAAAATGGTGTTCTTCCTTCCCACCATCACCAAATACTAGCTCATAATGAGCCGTATGCTCATCAGGGTTCTCTCTAATAGTGTTACATGGGCCTTTCCTTACAATATGAAACACTTGGAACAACTGTTGTTATCTACTGGCACTACACAAATAACCATTAATTTAAACTATTTTTACGTACTTTATGAAACCTCATTTAAAATGAAATTGGCAACCAAGATTTAGAGGATTAAATATAAAGATCATTTGATTGTTAAGTATCTAAACTTTAACTTCTAGACCTGGTAATATTGAAACACAGGTGCTAAAATGAATTTCACAAGTGTATAGCATTTTACCATACTCATGTTCAGCTTGAAATGGCCTGTAAATGGCCTGTATTTATATAGCGCTTTACTAGTCCCTAAGGACCCCAAAGCGCTTTACATATCCAGTCATCCACCCATTCACACACTGGTGATGGCAAGCTACATTGTAGCCACAGCCACCCTGGGGCGCACTGACAGAGGCGAGGCTGCCGGACACTGGCGCCACCGGGCCCTCTGACCACCACCAGTAGGCAACGGGTGAAGTGTCTTGCCCAAGGACACAATGACCGAGACTGTCCAAGCCGGGGCTCGAACCGGCAACCTTCCGATTACAAGGCAAACTCCCAACTCTTGAGCCACAAAAAGTAGTATATAAAGGGTAAAAGCCATCTACTTATGAGGAAGGCTTCACATAATAGCTTGAAGGACCTGATTCTAATCCATGAATCTTTTTCTAACACATCCATTGTGTGTGAAATATTGTTTCCTGTTTTTCTGGTTTTTTACTTTTACGGATCTTCATGTCACTGTTTGTTCTGTCGTTCAAATATGAAATGCATTTGCCAGTGGAATCTGTTCTGATTGCTAAAACATTGAACATAGAACTTTTATGAGATTAATTAGGGTACCTGACACTGTTTGAGATTAGAAGATAATTTTTTTCACAAACACAAACCTCTGTACCTAATTTGAAGGTGTCCATGTCTCGGAACTCCAGTAGGTTGTTGCCATAGTGACCACTAGTGAGGTAGATGACGTTCCCATGACCACGAGCATCTCTCATCCAGGCTCCATCACTAAGGCCATAAGTATTTTTCTGGACCGGTTCAGAGATGCTGGCTACTGTGTCCTTACACACTCCTGTAAAAATACACATTAGGTGTCAGCAAGGATACACCTACTACCAGATGAGGTATTACAATATGCCGATCAGCCAAAATGCTATAATTACATCTTTCTAGTAATTATTTTGTCTGTCTAATATCTATAAGACTAAACAGTTATGTTGAAAAGGGAAACTGTTGATAGAGACCAAGACCACATTTTTTATCAGGCTGGGAAGCTGAAACTGAAGGCATTTTAACACAGGATTTTGTGAGATCTCCCTCAAGTGGCCACTGGAGCCCTGGAGGTTACCATTTCATTTTTATGAAATAATCAACATTATTAGCTTCATATGGAAATGAATAGGTTCATTAGTCTTACTCTACCTGGCTTTTTGGTAACCATTGGTTGGTCAGCGGGGCTCTCTGTCCAGCTGAGGCGGCTTTTGGTTCTTGAATGAGGCGCTGAGGTGGGAGCTGCACCAATAGGTGGAGTGATATTGGTGTCTGAGGGTGAAGTGGTATACTGGCTGACAGGCGCAGTGGGGTGAATAGCAGTTCTGGTAGTTAAGGATTTTTGGGTAGTTGCCGTTGGCTTTGGAGTTGTTGTGGAGGAGCGAACTGGTTGGGTTGCAGTTATGGTTTGTTGGCTGGTAGATGGGGGAGCTGTTGGTGGATGGGATGGTGAAGAACTGGTCAAAGGTATGTCTTTGGGGTCTGGCTTTATGGTAGTTTTTGAAGGCCTGTTAGGTGGCAGCTGCTCAGACACCTGCAAATCCACTGATGATTTTGTGGTTACAGAAGCTACAAGACAAGATAAAAGAAGAAAGGGCCTTTCTCTGTAATTTTTAAAATAAATTTTACCTTTGATTAAATTAAAAAAGCCTTTAGCACATAACTTGAAAGCATTGATTTTACAGATCAATGCAATAGACTTACTGTTCTGTGCTTTGCCTTTCTTATCCTCCTTGTAGCTCTCTTCCTCTGCCTTGTAAAAGGTCACACCCCTGATGACAACAGTGTTTTTGTCTTTCATTTGCTGCTTTGGCTCTGTCTTCTCTTTGATCGGCTTTCGTGTTTCTGTCTGATTCCTGATTGGGTTCTGTTCCTCCACACCATCTTGCTGGTGGTTTGTCTTCAGCTGGCTGTCATAATTCTTCTGTAAGAGAAAATTCTGTCTCATTTATAATGAAGAGGGACTATCTATGCACGATAGCAATCTTCTAGAAGAGTGCACAGCATAAAATCAGACAAGAGTTTGTCTTGGCTTGTGATCTGTTAAGACACAGATTTTTCACAAGGTTTTTACCTGCTTGTGGGCGTAGGGAGCTGCTCCACTTTTAACTCTTGAGCGCTCATCATTCAGTTTCTTTTTTTTCAGCTGGATCTTTTTTTCTTTATCCTTTTCCCTCGCTCTTTCCTTTACACGTTCTTTCTCTCTCATTCTTTCAGTCAAATTTTGTGTGAATGCCTTGAGTTCAGAAAAAGACACATGCAGGGTCAACCAACTATTTCAGATGACATCACTTTGCACTTAGTCTGGACTCTGTGAATATACAAATATATATTTTTAGAAGTCTGGATATTCAATTCAATTTTATTTATACAGCGCCAAATCACAACAGTCGCGTCAAGACGACTATCTTACAATCTATTATTGTAAGGTAGACCCTACAATAATAGATACAGAGAAAAACCCAACAATCATATGACTCCATATGAGCAAGCACTTTAGCGACAGTGGGAAGGAAAAACTCCCTTTTAACAGGAAGAAACCTCCGGCAGAACCAGGCTCAGGGAGGGGCGGGGCCATCTGCTGCCACTGGTTGGGGAGAGAAAAGTAAGACAGGATAAAAAGCATGCTGTGGAAGAGAGCCAGAGATTAATAACAGGTATGATTCAGTGCGGAGAGGTCTATTAAAACATAGTGAGTGAGAAAGGTGACTGAAGAAGAAATACTTAATGCATCATGGAAATCCACCAGCAGCCTACACCTATTGCAGCATAACTAAAGGAGGATTCAGGGTCACCTAATCCAGCACTAACTATATGCATATCAAAAAGGAAAATTTTAAGCCTAATCTTAAAAGTGGAGGGAGTGTGAGTATGAATGGTTATCTGTCTCTCTGGTTCAGTCCTGTGTACCCTGCCTCTGACCCTAAACAAAATCACAGAAATATTTCTTTAAGAGTAAAACTTCTATGGCTTAAAGACAATACCAACTATATTTTTTTTTCAATTAATTGTAAAAATAAGCTATTCCAGTATTGCAGTACAGCCATCCATGTAGGGGTATCATATTTCAAGGAAATGTCCAACAATCATATTTCTGATATTTTTAAAAAAAATGAATACATTTTGTTGATTTTTGTGGCTCACAGATAACAAACTTTACAAGTGTAAGTGAGTGATGGGCATTTGCCATCCTTCTTTTCCAGTGAACTACTTGCAGCATTATAGTACAATAGTAGTGACACAGTCAAATGTAAACACAAAAGTAGCCAAAGTGTTTTCCTTGGAAATTTTAAGTAAAGGGAAGTTGCATCTTAGGTTGAGCCTTTTGAACTGCTATTTAAGGCCCTCGTTTTACCACCATGTAAACTGTGAGTAATTTTCATCCACTGTTTGCTTTTCCTGTTATATTGAGAGCAGTTAAGTGCAAGTGCTCCACCAATGCTTGGTGGAGTCATTTGTTTTATTTTTTGGTCGCACATTGGTGATGTGTTTTTGCCTTAAGTAGGGTTTGTTGCTTCCACCTTTAGAAAGGCAGTCACGTCCGGGCTTGTCTCATTTTTGCGGGCACTTTGGAATGTAAATGCTTGACCGTGCTATATCGTTGCTACAACAATGTCAAGAGTTTAGAGCACATAACTGGTATACTAGTATTGCCCTAAAGTATATGATATGGCACAGTTTAACATCCAAGCACAGTCAAAGAGCAAGCTGACAGAGGATATGAAGAAGCCAAAGTGTTTAGTTTTACCATTTGTTTGTGTTAGCAGGTCTGTCTACCTTTGCAAAGCTTCTGCATTAAAAAATATATACATGCTCTACATTAGAGTATGTACTGTATACAAACTATCAGTTTTGATTTTTAATAGGTGTTTTTTGGACAACATGTACTCACCTTCTCTATGTTGTCCACCCTGGTCAGTAGCTTGGTGGTAACAGAATGGAGCTTTAACAAGTCCATTCCATACAGAGAGACTTCCAACAAGTCAATGATAGTTGCCAGCTAAACAAAATCAAGAAATTGTTTTTTTTTATTATTATTATTAGTTAAACATCTTCCTGCTCAAAACTAACTTAACAGTGTATCATCAGTAACCAGAACACATGTATATGTTTCTACCTTGATGTCATCTTTGCTCGCTTCCTGTAGTTTTTTAAACCTGTACTCTCCCTCGCAGGGATTGACAGCGGAAGGTGGAGCCATGCACACACACTTCTTGCAGTCTGTTCCTTTGGTAATTGTCTCTACAGTGTAAAAATCCTGAGATGGTGATTTTAGGTCACTTTCATGGACATGGCTGCAGTCGGATCGCTTGATTGGTCGAACAACACAGCGACACACACAGTCGGACCCTGAAGACACTGTTTTTACTTTGTCATAATCTCCCAGCAACTGAAACAGAGACAGAAAGTTGTCTTTCTCAGTATATTTTTTCCACAATATAGGCCAGATAGCAGGAAACCTGAATAAATAGTGAATGTAAAATTGATAGTATATTATACTATACTTATATTATAATTTATTTAGCAGATGTGCAGGAACTAAAATCAGAAAAAGAGTTGAAATGTCTGACGATATGCAGCTGCAACAGTGGTGAGCTGTGTGGAATGAAGACAGCTATAGGCATTTACAAACAGGCCCTCTTTGGTTTGGACCACTTACAGTTTGAGGATATTACATAACCAACCACCAGGGGGATGCAAACTTTTACCATAGTGTACAC